ACACTGTAATAATATTACTTTCTTTTAAGAAAGATCTCCTGATTGCAACTTGGAAACATCTCTGAAGATGATTGAGAACAGCATCTTAAACATTCAAAGCTCTGTTTCTTTAGGCAAAGATAATAACCAGTTTTGTGGGAGAACACTTAAACAGATACCTAATAACCTTTAGTGTTAGCTCAGGAGAGCTGCAAGAGAATACCTCTGACCCACACCCCTATTCACGGCTCCTGGTTCGCATGTAGAAAGTCTACCTTCTCATAGACCAAGTTGTTGTCCTGCAACATTCATTACATTTATTGAAGAGGTTTTTTTTTTTTTTTTTTTTGCGGGGGGGTGGTAGTAGAGAGCTTAAAACCTGTAGTGTTCAAAGTACAGTATGTCTCCCATACGGAGAGACTGCGTAAGAAGGAATCATTTTAGCTTGCATGGAAAGGTAAGCACAGCATTCTAAAACAAATTTCCACCTTCCACAAAACACTAGAGTATCTCAATGAGCATATGGAGGGGAGTTTTATTGCACTAATCATGCACAGCGAGCACGTGGTAAAGGTAGAGAACATTTCATTTAGTCCAGTATCTTGAGTAAGACAAGTGAAGATTCCAGGCCATCTTCACCTTGGTTACTTCCCTTGGTCACTGTGTGTTGCGAACTGTCCATTTTCACTCAAAGTCTAGGGGGCTACTGCAAAAGAAATACCCAAAACACACAAAAAAACAAATGAAGGTCTGCAAAAAGCCATTCATCACAAAATCACTAAAAGCTTCTTGACGGTTTTTCTATATTGCCCACTATGCACTTGCTATTAGATGAGCACTTCACAAAATAAAATGGTCACAGCTCCACGCATGTAAAAGCATGTTCCAATAGATATGTACCATCGAGTTTTTTCCTGCATTGTGACAAGGAAGTTTTGCGAAGCAGGACAGGGAGAGCAAACCAACAGTACAACCAATTTCCTTGCTTGGTCTCTCAGACCTACAACACAGTGAAGAATTCTAATAAATGGAAACAAATTTATCTAAGAAAAACTGTCAAATTGTTATGCACTCTATAGCAACTCTTAGAATAGGCATTGGGTTTAACAGAGTGATAAGCTGGCTGGCAGTCTAAGTGCTGTGTGTACTTACGCTCCTTCTTCTCTTAAGAGGGCCAAAAATTTTCTCACACGGTACTCAGGATCCATCTAAATACATCAGAAGACATAAAGAAGAAAGGTTAATGGTACCTTCTAACAACTATGCACCTCAAGCCAAGGAAATGCTTGGTTTCATACTTCCATCAGTGCTCTGCTGAGTCAGAAATGTGTCACCTGCTCTTTGACTGGTATTCTGGTACACAACAAAGCAGATTACATCATTTGAAAGAAGTGAATGGGACTTCCCAGCCTGGAGATGGCTGCGCACCAGGTTCCAAATCACAGGGCTGTCTGGTCACTCAGACACAAATGTGAGTGCTCCCTCAGCTGGCACTGGTGTGAGGAGGCAGCACTGTGACAATAGACGGTGGCCATTCAAGAGGGTTCAAATGACATCCAACCCATCTATCTAAGGTATAAAAATATATCAAAGTAAGACCGAACTTGAAGAAACCAAATTGAGGTTGACTAAATGACTGAAAAACAGCTTACTAACTCTGCATAATCAACACTTTAGCTCTTCTTATGAGCTTCAGCATCCCTTGCATAGTTTCTTCTTTGCAATTAATGAAGAAGTTGCGCTGAAACTAAACAAATGAAGAGTGTTGCTGATTCCTCTGCTACAATCTCCAGATAATCTGGGTCTCCTGTGACTGAGAATGTCACAAGTCTAAGAAAAGATGGCAGAGTTCTGATTCAGGTGCTTGGTTCAGGTCATTATTATCATTATTATTTTTTTAGGCAGCTGGCCAGTATGGGGATCTGAACCCTTGACCTTGCTGTTCTCAGCACCACACTCTCTCGAGTGAGCCAATTGGCCAGCCCATTATAATTAATTATCTCTACTGGCTTTCATTTTCTATTCATATTTACACTAATTTGTTAAAATATATTTTATTCTCACTGGTCCACCAGAGATGTAAAGTTATCTAGAAAACGATCATTAAAAACATCTTTAATTCCTTAAGGTGAATTTTTATTGTTAAGACACACACCTAACTTTTAAAATGTGTTTTAGGACAGGAGTCTGTTTCCCAAGAGGGAACTCCCTACCCTCCAGGAATAGCTTTCAAATGCTCCGTGCAGCTGTGCAACTGGATTCCCCCCTCCAACCACTTTTTTTTTTCCTTAAGATTTCTACCCTTCTATCCTAGAAAAACACTGAACAGAAGTTTCAAGTGTATCAAAGTTAAGAGGTCAGACTACAAAGGACTAAGAAAAAGTGTGAATAGCTAACAAAAGAAACATTTTTCCTCTTTGGGAATAGAATTACATATGAATCAATTGTCAAGTTCTTTAAAAAAAAATGGAACTGGCTGGAGCTCAGCTGTAGTTAGTACTTGCAGGTCTCTGCCCATTAAATATATTTAATATGTGTGAGCAACGACTTACTGACTTGCCTGTAGCTATGGAATTAAAAGTCAAGAGAAAGGGAGGAAAAAAGTAATCTAGATAAATGACTTTATTCCCTCAGGTGACATCCAGTCAGAGCAGATCCTGAGCACTGTGCAAGTTTTAACAGAATTGTGAATAGTGAACAGAGAGGTAACATAACTTATATTCTGCTAAACTACATGCCTCTTCACTTAGTCTCTCTAAGGCAGATCTAAAGAGAATTCACTCAGCTGCACAAAATCCATTTGACATGAAGGGGTTCAAACTCAGAGGCCTATGAAGTGTCAGTTGCTGAAGATTAGGCCTGAGTGCCCCACTCTCACTTTCTACCCCACATACATAAGAGGCATTAACTTGATCACTGACCTGTAGGCATCAAAGGAAGAGGAAGGGATGGGGGTTGGGAGAAAAACCCACATAGTTTCTTCTATATAATTATTTTAAAAATTGTGCTGAAACTAAAAAAAAAAAAAAGTAGAGCTGATTATCTGACAGATTTATTATTTTTTAAGGAAAGAGCCAAAATACCTGTATGTACACCTTTACCAAAAAGCATAAACAAAGTGATTAGTCTGTAACTTTAATTTATTGCTCATAATGGAAAATAAATAAATTGACTTAAAAACAGTCCATCTGAATGTTCATTAGATTAAACTTTAGGTTTCTGAAAACCAAAAAAATTTTATTTTAAAATAAATTTACCAGAAAAGACTAAAAAGCATTCATTTCATGTTTCCAATTTGTTATTGGTCCAAGAGCCTATTTCAGATGTAACTATGAAACTTCAACTTCACCTCTGCCACTCACTGCTCACACTGCCAGAATGGCAGGACTGATCAGGAATACACAATCTTAGAATACAGCCAGTCAGTCCATCTAGGACCAGGGATGGATTTACTCATTCAGTCAACTAAAGTTTACTGAGCATCCTACTGTGTGTCTGGCTCTGTTCCAGGGACTGTGGCTCAACAGGGAATAAGTAAGCCTCTGAACTCACAGAGCTTGATACAGATACATTTATTATCTAACTAGTGAGTTAGATAAGGACAAGAAGACAGGATGGCACATGGAGGGGTGGAGTTCCAAAAAGAGGAAGGTAAGTTGCCAGTAGACGTGAGAAAATGTCAAAGAAGTTTCATCTGTCTTTGGCCAGGCAGCAGTCTGGGGCTCAGTTTTCTGTGATCCTGGATGCTTCAACCCTGCAGTAGTTTGCATGAAATATCTAGGAGCCCAGCCAGGGGAAAATACACAGAGCCCAAGCCTAGTCTGTACAACAAATTAACTTGTCTCTTAAAACAGTCTCCCAGACCCCTTTTGGTACACGTGCAGTGGCTTACTGACCTCTGATGTACAGCACCATCCCTTCTCCATCACTAACTGGCTATGTGATCTTGGATAATTCACTGACAACCTGTGGAACACACAGTACGCTCATCTCTAAGATGAGGGGGTAGCAGAACAATTGCTCTTTGAAATCCTTTCTAGTTTTAAGATCTAGTGACTCTCTAAATTAAAACTACAAGTAACTTCAAAATATTTTCTATTTTCAAATTTTAAGATGCGGGAAAGAAAAGTATCAATAAGTTATTGTTTGACCTCAGAAGAAGGCTACCAATTTGAGTTCAGAAATAATATGAGAATTATAAATTAATTAAAACCTTAGCAAAAGGAAATATTAAACACCGTGGTACATCATGAAGCTTCTTTCTACATCTGAATCATATGGAGAAGGAAGCACTGCACCTGTAGAGACATCTCGATCAACATTAGTAACTTCTTGATGCCTATCCAGACCTTCTTCCCTTTGACTTGCTGTGCAATTGTGGTACGTTCCTTATCCTTGAAGTTGCCCAAAAGCTAAAAAAAAAAAAAAAAATAATAATAATAATAAAAAACACTTTTACAGTAAGTGCATCAACAACATTAGTTAAATCTCACTTTTACCCTTAAAAGGACAGTGATAAGAACTACCTGACTGGTTCAAACTGAGAGGATTCTCTATTTTAAAATCCAGTCTGATCTTTCTAAACCCATTAGGAGCAATCATGAAAGTGAAAACTGGTATCTTAAACCCAGTTTTCCTACCGACCTCCATTATAACTTAGAGATATATTTGCTGGGGGAAAAATAGCTCTAATCCATAATAAATATGTTAAAAATTTTAACATTCCTTTCTAGGAACAATCTGTAAGTGTCAAAGCAAACCAAATTTAATTCTAATACCCAACCCCAACATAAAAAATCTGCTCAAACAGGTAATCTGGAAACATTTATCAAATAGATACTTTCTATTTTGTTGGTAGCATACACCAAGACTATGGGTCTTGAGGAAGCCTTACTGACTCCACTACCGCTGAAAAACTCGCTAGATAATATTTTCCAACAGATCTCATCAATTCATTTGTGCATACTGATATTAATCAAAAGTTTAATAAATATCTTTTAGAAAAACTAAAGACTTAATCATCCTTAAAAAATTTAAGAAAACATTTCCATATTATAAACTTGTTAATAAAGTTCTTTTACTTCTGTAGCTTCTTTGAAATTTCTAAGACTTTAATCATTGTTCCAGTTTACTAAATGCAAGGAAATGTGCTGAAAGCCACTATGACTGATTTTTCTATATAGTGATTACCTTACCCCTACACATCCAAGTTTCTGGCCCATGTAATCTGTGTGCACTACTCACGCTGGGCACAGAGTAGTTCATTCCTGACAGTTTGTATGCTGCCTACATGGAAGAATGTGAAATGAATTCACTGTCACTTATATTCATCTTCTAGTTCCTGAAAACGACTGGACTTAATATCCCAGCATCCCATTTTCTAGGTTAGCCCATAAAACCGAACACTAGGTGCAGCAGCTGTGGCTCCCTTAGCATTACTTCCAGCCTCAACTTCCTCTCACAAACAGTGTGCGATCCATCGACCCGTTTTCACCTCCAGAGCTTCCAACAGCTGCTCTCCTGTGGCAATGTTGGGCACATGGATGGTGGTGCTGAAAGCATTAAGCATTTCCATCTCCTGAAGGACATCTTTGCGGCTAGTGGTCCCAATGATAAGAAGCTTGCGGCCCTGATCACAGGTGAAAAAACATGTTAAAATGCACAGAATAAGACTAGGAAATTAGAGTAAGCCTGAACAAAATGTGCAAATTCCATTTATTTAATTGCAGAAATGCAGATGATTAGGCAAAAGAGATTCAGGATTTTCCGTGAAAATCTAAACAAAGGTATCAACACAGTGATTCATAAAGCTGCAACATCTAAGCAGCTCCTCATTCACATCAGTAAACAATGGATTAGAAAATCAGGGAGATACTCAAACCAAATAGAAAGATACCGAAGTGTATGTTTGCAATTCCTTCCTCAGAGCCAATGTGGCACGAGTATGGTGGGAAGTGGGGAAAAAATGAAACGAATGAAAGGAAAGGCTGTACTGCTGGCTTCGTGAAGCTTTACAGTGCTTTTTAGAAGGAATAAGGTGATAATAGTTTATATCTATGCAATACTTAACTGTGAAAGGTGTGTGCTAAGTGCTTTACATAATTGTCTCATTTAATATTTTTAAATTTCATTTTTATTTTTAACCCCCAAATATTCAAAAAAAGTTTTAAAATGATGCCAGGCTTATGCCAGCACTCCTGATTCCCTCTCTCCAGAGGCAACCATTCTCAACTTTCTTAGCTTTTCTTCATATAATTACTTTTTTAACTTTAAATAACAAGGTTAGACTACTATTTTTAGATTTTTTGTTTTCAGTTTTAAATATTATTTACTGACTTCCAATTATGGAAGAGGAATATTTATTATTAATTTTGCACTACCACCAGCTCCCCATCCAAACGCCCCTTTTCTAATCCTTCCAATAGTTATTTCAGTCTTTAGTTAAATCTATATTCAGTGTCTATTATGACTGTGTAAACATGATTTACAGCTAAGTCATGTAGAGCACTATTAAATTTCCTTTCTTGGGCAACACTTTGTTCTTACTAGAGTTAATAACTGCCTTTTCCCCCTTTGCTTATTAGTTTATCAGGTACTTATCACAAGTTCATCCCCAAACAAATACAACCATAAATCTCCTTTCAATACATTCAACACATTCAATCATTTAAAGTTTTGGGTTTTTCTCTCGAAGACATTTCCCTCCTAGAGTCCTCGTTCTCACAGTTCAATCTGAAATGATTGCACTCTAGGCCTACTGCACAGCTGTAGTTCTAGAACTTTCTCCTCTGTTAGAGTCCCTGTATCCTCACCTTCCTTTTTCTTCACTGATTCCCTTTTTTACATGATGCGTATACCCAAAAACTTCCTGAGAAAGGGTGCATGGGAGGTAAAAATTTAAAGAGCTTGCATGTCAGCAAACGCCTTTATTCTGCCTTTAATATCTAATACTTACTAATTTGGCTAGTATAGAGAATTAAGGTTAGAAATAAATTTTCTCTCACAATTTTGAAGGCATGCTCTATTGACTTTTAATTTTCAGCGTTGCTGGCTAGAAGACCAATGTCATCTGACCTCTGACCTTTGGTTCTAACCTGTTTTTTAATTTTTTTAATATACAATTTTAAGAATCTTTTCTTTATCCCTATTTTCTGTAATTTGAAAATTATGTACCTTGAGATGGGTCTTTCTTTACTCATTTTGCTAGCACTAAATGAGTCCTTTCTAAACTGGAAATTCCAATCATTCAGTTCTAGGAAATACCTTGGATTGCTGCTTTGAGATTTTCTCTCATTCATTTTCTCTGTGTTCCCCCACCCCCACCTCATCTCCCCACCGAGAATCTTCATTAGTTAGATACTGGTCCCCTAGGATTAATCTTCTAATTTTCTTCCTTAGGATTAATATTCTAATTTTCTTTTCTTTTTTTTGCTCCTAGTTTTTCTTTCTTTCTCTTTCTAATACTTTTTGGATTAGCATCCGCTTTCTCTTCTAACCTTTATATTAAATTATTTTTTATTTCTAAGAGCTCTTCCTTGTTTTGTGAATGTTTTCTTTTTTAATTGTGTGCTATTATATTTCATGGATACAATATCTTATTTTAGATCCCTGTGAATGCTTTAGATTTAAAAAATTGTTTTCTCCTGTTCACTGCTTTGTCTCTGTTTCCTCTGAGTTCCTTTTTTCCTGTTTGTTTACTGGACGCTTTTACTGGAGGCTTTCCTTAAGTGTCTGGTGATCATTGGATGACTATTCATATTTAAGAGTTAAACTAACGACTGGAAGCTCTGTGTCTGGGATGATCAGGTAAGACTTCGCTGATTATTGAGGGTCCCTCCAAAGGTCAGTATATTAAATTTTTCTCAGAGAAGAGTCCTCCAATCTCCTTGAAGGCTGTAAAGCCTAATTACCAGCATACTGGGAGTTAATGGGGTAAGGGATCTGGGTATCTAACCATTTAATATGGAGATTTCCACTTAATCCTATTTGCAGTATGTCACCTCTTACAATCAGTCTCTCTCTTAATGTTCATTATAATCATGTGAATTAACTACTAGTATTATCCTCTCTTACTGATGAAGCTATTGAGTCTCACAGATATAAGTAATTTTTTCAAGGTCAAATAACTAATAAATAATGGAGCCAAAGTTGGAAACAAGATCCAGTCCCAAATCATATACTGCCTTTCTTCATGAAGAAAAACACATTTTAAAAAGTTTACTTGAAAAATGAAAGAGGAATAAGTTTCAAACTTATGTCACTAGATTTATGATACACACTTAATCCATAAATAAGTCTTTAATATAATCATTAAACCTATTGATGGATTTTAGAAACTCAGGACATCAAATAAGTGTGCTAGCAGGAAAAGATTTTTAAAAATTGAGGATCAGATGCCGAAACAATTTCAATTTGGGTTTTGTAAATATTATACCACTGCTGTCAATAAGGTATGCTAACCTTTCTCAATCTTACTCATTGTTTTTGTCCATCTATAGTGCAAGAATGGGCAATGCATCATCATAAGCAAAAGTGTATCAAAGAAACACAGTTGAGACCCTCTGTTACCCTTAGCCATTGGCATAACAGATTACTGTGCAAAGACTATGGGATAGAAGTATACCTGTGAAGTGTACAGATTAAAGGGTAATCATTATTATTCTTTAAGAAATCAACTAGCTAAAAATCAAATGCTTATCAACAGACATTTACCAAGTTCCTAGATGAATATGTAATAGATCTTGTAATAGAGAGGGAGAAAGATACAAAAGAGAGAATTACAACTTCAATATAGAAAGGTGAGATACTGGGGCCGGCCCGGTGGTGCACTGGATAGTGCGCCGCTTGGGAAGCGCGGCGGCACTCCCGCCCGAGGGTTCGGATCCCACATACAGACCAGTTCCCGCTCACTGGCTGAGCGAGGTGCGGGGGCAATACCGAGGGTTGCGATCCCGTTGCCGGACACGGAAAAAGACAAAAAAAAAAAAAAAGGGGGGGAAATAACACCCAAAGGGGGGGGGGGGGGGCAATACCGGGGGGTGCGATCCCGTTGCCGGACACGGAAAAAGACAAAAAAAAAAAAAAAGGGGGGGAAATAACACCCAAAGGGGGGGGGGGGGGGCAATACCGGGGGGTGCGATCCCGTTGCCGGACACGGAAAAAGACAAAAAAAAAAAAAAAGGGGGGGAAATAACACCCAAAGGGGGGGGGGGGGGGCAATACCGGGGGGTGCGATCCCGTTGCCGGACACGGAAAAAGACAAAAAAAAAAAAAAAGGGGGGGAAATAACACCCAAAGGGGGGGGGGGGGGGCAATACCGGGGGGTGCGATCCCGTTGCCGGAAAAGAAAAAAAAAAAAAAAAAAAAAAAAAAAAAAAAGAAAGGTGAGATACTACGCACAAGGCTGTCAGGTAGAGGGAAGAAACGTGGCAGAGAAAGCTGCTTTCTCTGGAAGGGATGATACCTGGACTGAGTCTTAAGGAATGAGTAGGTTGATTAAGACAATGAACGGGAAGGACATTCTAAGCCAGAAGGAGCAGAAATACACAAGTCCAAAGGCAAAATAACAAAAACAAAAACTGGGGTGTTGTTGTAATTACAAACATGTAAAAGACATATAAATTTCTACTATAATAAAAGAGTAGTGCTTTTATACTCAAAGTATTTTTTAAACCTGAATTCTAATAATAAACTTGGGAACGTATCCCTGAAGGCTAACAGATGCCAAAGGCCACACACACTGGTACATCCTTATTACAATTAAAGGTAACTATTACTTCTCTTTTTCCTTAGGTTTTTAATGTCCCATAGCCCATAATTCAAACTCCCTCATCTTGCTCCTCTCTCCCAGAAGACAACGTTGGCCTTAGAAGAATGGCATTGAGGAAAAAGCTTCTTACTCATCCCAGCAAGCCAGACTTTAAAAATCATTGCCTTTTTCCTAGTGAAACTTTCTCTTACATTAACAGTGACTATGCTCTTCAAAGTGTTGAAAGATTAGTAAATAGAGAGCAACTTATAATGGAGACGCTAATTTATGTTTTGCTTTTCTTCTTGTTTAACAAGACTGCAAACACTGCAAAGAGGTCAAGACCCAGGCAAGTTCAGGCCTTGACTTGTAAAGCATCATCTTTAAGAAAACACCCTAAAACATTACCAAATAATTAAATTGTACTGGGCCATTTGGGATATTAATGAGTGTGGTAATGCTCATCAGGAAGCTTTATCATGAAAAAACAGCTCGAATATATTAGTGTAATAAATCACATTGGATAACATTTAAAAGGAAAAGCTGCCAGCAGCATCAAACTGGGATGCAGCCTTAAAAATAAAAATAGAGCTCAACCCAAGAGGGAGATCCACCTTATTCATGTGTGACTACTCATCTTAGGTCTACAGTGCCCAAACATGCCCCTTGATGGAAAGAAAAAGAGTAGAGTGATAACCTATTTGGGGGAAAAATTTTTGCTCCCAGCGTACTCTGATTCTATAAAGAAAAGGCCTAAATAAAATGCCTATCTGCTGATCAGATTATGATAAACATTGCTCCAAGGTTAAGTAAGTATTAGTTAGCTAATTCTTAGTCCCATAAGGAGCAACTCAGGTGAAAATATTTCCATGAAAAAGGCA